CTGGAGAAGCCGTCCCCGCGCCCCCTCCCAGACTGGCGGGGATGAGGCCATCTCACCCCCACCCCATGCAATCCTCACCCCTGACCTGCCCCCCCTCCAGCGCCCACCTCCGTCCAGGTCCCGATCCGGGAGGCGCCCCAAGAGCTCCGCTTCTCTCCTCCACGCGCCTTTCTTGGGCCGAAGCGAATAACGCAGGCGCAGTGATCCCGCTTCCGACTCCCGTTAAAATGGCGTCAGGGGAGGAGCTCTTCCCTCGCCTTCGTAGCTCTTTGTTCTTTGCCATCCCCTCCTGCACGAAAGAGGGAGGGATGGCCAGAAACAACGTGTGAGGGTGTGTGTGAAGGGGGTGAATGGTAGCCAGGCTCCCCAAGTTGTCCAGGTCGAGTGGATCGGGCACTTCGATCCTGGCAGCTGGACGTCTTCTCCATTGAATCAGGAGGACGTCCAGTGGCCAGGACTCACCTACCCGAGAACATCACCTGGGGGATGGAGAATCCTCCCAAATCGATGGGGGTCTGGACCGCGGCAGGGGCTCGAACTGTTCTTGCAAGGGGATACCCGGTCTGCTCCCAAAGGGAGCAACCGTGAGGAAGGGAGAATAAGCTTCTGCAGAAGGAAGGAAACAAGCTTCCTTTGCCATGATTATAGAAAGGGTCGGGATCCTTAGCCCAGGGTCCTTGGATAGCTGGGCACCCCCACCAACTGTGGATCTGTATTTACTCCTCCCTGTTTTCATGAAACCAGGAAATGTCATCTGGGTGTCTGTTATACGAAAGGGCTTCATAGAAGAGAATAGGGCAAAAGTACTAAAAGCACCATCCAGGAGAGAGATTTGGGGAAGCCTTAGGTGGTGGTGGAGAAGTCACCTCCTCCATGCAAGTCCTCCTTTGCTCCATAGTCTCCCTGTCAGGGATGTTGGAGCAGCAGCTTCTTTCTGCCAATGAGAAGGGGGTTGGACTAGATGACCTATGGGTTCCCTGGCGGTTCTCTTGGTAGTTCCCAACCTTGGGGAACCCAGGAGTTCCTGGATGGCTCTTCCCAGAGACTCAGACCAGCAAAGGTGGTTGGGAAGGCTTGTAGGAATATTGGTCCAAGAACCCTCGGGCCACCCAAGGTGGGGGGCGGGATACCCACTGCTAATGAGGAACAGCCTGTCTCTTCAAACCTTCAAGACCTACTTGAGTGTCCCCTTCCATTCAACCTAAGATAGGGCTGACTGTGTGAATGTCAGTTCCTTTTGGGATTCTTCGGACCTTCATCCTTGGATATCAGAGGCATGAAAGATAAAACGTTTGCACAAGATTTACGAGTTAGTTGTTTAAAATGTTTAGTGCTACCCTCAG